ATGGCCAGCCCCCCTGCGGGTTGATTTCTTGCTTTCTATCTCTCTGTCTCTCTCTGTCTTTCTGGTGAGTGCACGCACCCTATAGCAAAAACTCCCCCCCCCAAAATATATATATAAATGAAACTCCTCTGAAATTTCCAGTGAAATTTTAACCTATAGATCAATTCTGGGAGAGATGATAACTTTAAAATATGCATCTTCTTATTTAAAGATGTTATCTCTTTTTATTTATTTATTTATTTATTTATTTTTGACTTGCGGTATGTGAGCTCACTGGAGAGAGAGAGAGAGAGAGAGAAACAGACACAGTGAACGGAAAAGTGAGAAATCACCACCCAGGACGGATGGCCATGCTGCAATCCCTTATCTTCCATTCTCCTCCCAGGATCTTGGGCACGCAGGCACATGCGCCCAGCCTGAATTTCAAGCCACTGGGTCTGGGACTCGAACCATGATTGGCCATGTGGGAGTCCAGAGATGCTGCACCATCTGCTGGCTTCAAAGATGTTCTCTCTTTTTCTATATTGGTTTTATTTAGCATTTTCAATAACGTTTCATAATGTTCTTATGATTTAAGATTTGGAAAATATTTACAAATTTTGGGAACCAGTAGTTAGCGTAATGGCTATATCGCTGGACTCCCACGTAGTCGACCGCGGTTCGTGTCCCGGACCCAGTGGCTTAAAACTCACGCCGGGCACGTGTGCGTGCATGCCCAAGATACCGAGAGGAGAATGGAGGAGAAGGGATTGCGGCGTGACCATCCCCCCTGGGGGGTGATTTCTCACTTTCCGTCTCTATGTCTCTCTCTGTATCTCTCTATGTCTCTCTCTGTTTGTCTCTCTATGTCTCTCTCTGTCTCTCTGTGTCTCTCTCTATGTATCTCTCTATGTCTCTCTCTGTCTGGCGAGTGCACACGCCCTATAGCGAAAACCTCTCCCCCCAAAAAAATTGACAAATTTTTATTGAACTTATTCTTAGCTAACTTATTTATACAATTTTGAATAGTATCTTTGTTTTCCTGTCTTTGCTGATGTTTATAAATGCACTTTATTTTGTTTATTAATTTTATATTATATCACATGATTATGACTATGTTGTAAATTGAAATAATTTATCTGTATTTTCATGTAAGTTTTCAGCATATATCATTATATTACCTGTGAACAATGAGTATGATATTTTTTCCTTTCTAAAAGTCACAATTCTCTTTTTTAAATTGTAATGGCTAATGCTATAGTATAAGTTCCTTATTTTAAATGACATATCATTACTTATGTGCTGTAGGTATTTTTATATTATCTGTTTGAGGTTTCCCTTTCCTTTTATTATTATTATTTTCTTTTTTCTTTGGAGAGGTTTTTTGCTATAGGGCACGTGCGCTCGCCAGAAAGACAAAGAGAGACAGAGAGACAGAAAGCGAGAAATCGCCCCCCAGGGTGGACAGCCACGCCGCAATCCCTTCTCCTCCATTCTCCTCTCGGGATCTTGGGCATGCATACACACGCACCTGGCATGAGTTTAAACCACCGGGTCCGGGACTTGAACCGCGATCAGCTACATGGGAGTCTAGCAACATAGCCATTATGCCAACTGCTGGTCCCCAAGGTTTTCCTGTTCATAAATATTTTAATAAGCTTTCTTCTATTATTGGATGCCTAAGTTTTAAATAAGTGGGTGTTTAAATTTCTTCATATTTTATTTATAGCTTTTTAGAAAATTATAGTTTCTTCTATAATTAATTAAGGTAATAATTAGTATACATTCCAGTGCTGACCTAACTTTGCATTCCAGGATAAATTCACTTTAATTATTATGTGTTATGGTATTTATATCCTTTGGTTTGGATTTACAAAGTGTATGATAGGCTTTTATATTTTTGTTTCTGAGTGAACTATGTCAATACGTTTACTTTTTCACACTTTTCTTTGTTTTTACATCAAAATGATATATTATTATAAAACCGAGTTTAATATTTTCTCTTCTGTTTTCTGGAAGACTTAGTATAAGACCGTTTTTTCTCAAATGTTTAGTAGACTTTGTATGTAAAACAAGATAGTCCTGGTGTCTTTGTGGAAAGATTTAAAAATACGAATTCTATTTCTTTTGTGGTTATTTGCATAAGTTGTCAGATGGTGTATTTCTCCTTGAGTTAGATTTTGATTTTTCTATGATTTTTTTTAACTTTTGTCACACTGAAATAGCAGAAAGTTATTCAGAATAGTCTTTTATATTTCTGCTGCTTATTTAGCCCTGCCTCTTATCATTTCCTGGACTGATTGAGCCATCTCTCTTCCTGCGTGTTGCCAGAAGTTGATCTCTATTAACTGATGAGCTTTGAAACACAGGACTTTAGCTCTGTTATTCCACACTACTAATCGTTTTACTTCTGTTACTCCTCTAGATTTCCAAACTTCTGTACCTCTAGTCTATGCTGAAATAAATCTAATAACTAAAATAATTTACTGATGTTTCATTTCTGATATGAAAACTCATTTTGACTCCGAAAACATTTCACACATAATGATACATTACGGTCTTATTAGCATCTAAATCTAAAATTGTTGTAATTACCAACAATATTTTAAGTGAACTCTTCAGTTATTTTATTTTTTTAAGAGAGTTTTTTGATACAAGCCATGTATGCTCACCAGAGACACATACAGTGACAGAGAGAGAGGGAGTGTGAGAAACCACTCCCCAGGGGCAATGGCCACACCACAATCCCTTCTCCATTCTCCTCTCAGGATTTGGGGCATGCACGCACATGCACCCAGCCTGAGTTCATGCTGCTGGGTCTGGGACTCAAACCCAGTAGACTATGTGGGAGTCCAGTGCCTTAACCACTATGCCACCTGTTGGCCCCCCCTTCAGTTATTTTAAGTGTGTTTTTATATTTTTTGAAAATAGAAAATTTCAAAATTCTCTTCTTATTGTCACTTAGCTTAAACATATCGTGTTTAGAAAACATGATTTGAATGACAACAATGCCTTGAAATTTTCTGAAAACCATTCTATGTACTCATATCTGGTGAAAGTTTGTAAATGTTCAATATGTGCTTTGAAATAAATTTTGGGGGAATGCAATTTTAACTACCATGCCGCCTGCTAGTCCCGGGGAATACAATTTTAAAAATATGTTTTTAAAAACTATTTATTTTATTTTATTTATTATTTTATTTTTTAACTTGCTATAGTCATCAGAGAGAAATAGAGAGAGGGAAAGTGAGGAAGCAAGCCACCAGGTTTGGGACTTAAACCACAGTCAGCCATGTGGGAGTCCAGAGCCCTAACCACTATTCCACCTGCTGGCCCTAGGGAATAAATTTTTTAAAAATGTCTATTAGATCAGTTTTATTAATTTGTAATTCAAATATTCTATATTCTTACTAATTTTGTCCTCTTATCTAATTAGCTTTGCAATGTATGGTATGGACTTTTTCTTTATATTTCTATTGACATTTGTCATATATTTTTTAAAGATATATCATAAGTTGTCTATATATTTAAAATTTTGATATTTTCCTGGTGACTTAACTTTTTATATTTATGAAATAACTCTATTTCTACCAATAAGTTTTTCATAAACTTTGTTTTTACTTTTTAGACATTAATATATCTGTTATAGTTTCCATTATATTTACCTGATGTGTCTTTTTGTACTTTTTAATTTTCAGTAAGTAGTTCATATATTTTTATATTTTCTTGTATGAATTACAACATTTCAAGTTTTAAAATCCAATCTAATTTTCTTTTTTAAATAAATGATTATTTAGGGGCCAGCAGGTGGCATGGTGGTTAAGGGCGCTGGACTCCCACAAGGCTGACCACGGTTCAAGTGTCGGATCTGGTGGCTTGCTTTCTTACTTTCCCTCTCTCACTCTCTCTCTGTGTCTTTCTGGTCAAATTAAAAAATAAAATGAATGAATAAATAAAATTAAATAAATAATTCTTTTTAAAAAAATGATTATTTATTTGGGACCATATGGTCGAATGCAGTTCGAGTCTGAGAGCTGGAGGCTTGAAACTCACTCACTTGTGTGTGTGCTCAAAATCCCAAGAGGAGAATGGAGAAGGGATTATAGCATGACCATCCCCCGAGGGGGTGATTTCTCACTGTCTGTCTCTTTGTCTTGCTCTGTCTTTCGGGTGAGTACATGTTCCTTATAGCAAAAATCTCTCTAAAAATTATTATTATTATTATTTATTTCATTTCATTTATTTATCATTATTATTTTTAAATTTTTGCTATAGGGCACGTGTGCTCACAAGAGAGAGACAGAGAAGGGAGGGACAATGAGAAAACAAGTCATGAGGTACAGGTCTCAAACTGCAGTTGGCCATGTGGGAGTCAAGCACCTTAATCATCACCCCATCTACTGGCCCCAACCTGACGTTCTTTGTCTTTTAACTGGTAAATTAATTTGTGTGTGTGTGTGAGATTTGTTGCTCTAGGATGAAAAGACAGAGAGATAAAGAAACAGAAAGCAAGAAATCACCCTCTGGCGGCATGGCCAGGCTGCAATCCTTTCTCCTCCATTCTCCCCTAGGGACTTGCCTGGTGTGATTTTTAAGATGTCGTGTCCAGAACTCGAACCGTGGTTAACAACGTGGGAATGCAATGCCTTAACCACTATGCCACTTGTTGGCCCCTGGTTTTTATTTTTTACATTGATTGTGTTTGCTGACATACTCCAGGTAAGACTAATTATTCAACTACTGTTTTAAAATCCTTTCTGAAGTTATCTGTATTTTAACTCTATTTTGTTTCATAGAAGAAAGATGCCTTTTAAAAAATGGGTAAGCAATAATTTTTCGCTCCCTCTGAGTTGCCCGAGCATCCACCTTCCCCTCTTCTCTCTCTCCCACAACTCACCTCTTACGCATACTCTGGATTCCACCTCTTGGCTCTGGTCAGAGTGTTCGATGGAGCAGGAGATATTCCTAGAATTCTCTTGGATGGTGAGGGAGGTCTCCACGTCAAACAAGCCGTGTCTGTCTGCATTGACCTTGGAGTCTGAGGGTAAGACGGTTCCTCGTGAATCTTTCCACTTCACCTGAGGCCGAGGGAACCACCCTGAGGACTGGCAGAGGAGCTGGACGCCTCCGGGGACATATCCCGTGATGGAAATGAGGGGAACGGAGCCCAGCTCTGAGAGAAAGCAGAGGGATGACAGCGAAGGTTATATCCAAGGCTACGGCGGAGCCGGGTCCATCAAGCCCATAGCCATGACTGTCACTCCTCTCTGTCACTCTCTGTCATTCTCTCGCTTACAGACACACACAGAACATTCCTTGAAGTCCTTTCCTGGTCTTTTCCCCTTTAACCAGCATCTAACAATTACTATAGCAGGGCTCTCCCTGAGCACTAACTATGATGCAAAGAATCTGACAGAACCTCTCCACTGAGGAAGTCACTACATTGGAAGACAGCTGTGAACAAACGTACTCTATTGTGAAAAATGCAACTATGGGCGCACGATCGAGTTAGCACAAAGGAGAGAACAATGAAATTCCAGGAAGTCGTTGCTTTCTGGAGGTGAGGATGAGTGAAGAATAGGGAGAAGCGTCCTAGCACAGGGAGGGTGACCTCAGTATGGTCCCGTGTTATCGCCATCTCTCCACTCAGAACAGAGCTTACCCCCTCTGTGCTGCTCTCTGCCATTCCTCAGGGTCGTGGCCAGCACACTTTTTTTTTTTATTATTTTATTTTTTAGAGAGAGGTTTTTGCTATAGGGTGTGTACTCTTGCCGGAGAGACAGAAAGTGAAAAATCACCCCGCAGGGGGGATGGCCATACCACAATCCCTTCTCCCCCATTCTCCTCTTAGGATCTTGGGCACGCATGTACACGCGCTTGGCGTGAGTTTTGAGCTGCTGTATCCAGGACTCGAAACCACAGTCAACTATGTGGGGGTGCAGCGACATAACCATTATGCCATCTGCTGAGTGAATAAATGAATGAAAGAAAGATGGTGCAAACACTAAGAAAGGGGGTCTGGATATGATCCTACAGACTTGTCTCTCCCTGCTCATCCCTCTAAGTACAATGATAAACTCTGAACAGCATAAGAGGCAACCACAGGTGAGTTTTGAATAGTGGAAAGAGGAAAGTAGAATGACTCAGGACCCAAATGGAGAAACAACAAAGCAGCTACGTTAACCTAGCAACAGCAGGTGGTTAAAGTAGGCTCGCTCCTCACCCACATCACTGACAACACCAGGTAGGCCCAGTGGAGCTGTGAGAGGACTGAGGAGAAACCTCACTGGCAAGAATCGGGGAAATACTTCCTCTGTGGAGCAGAGGTGCCCTCATTTAGGGCACCAGAGTATCTAATCGGGAACATCACCTTTACTCCCACAGGCAGTGCTAACAGGGCTCCGTGGAGCAACAGGGTCACCAATAAACCCAAAGACAGAAAATTAAACAGTCCGGGAACACACCTGCCAAGTCCACTTGGACTGAGGGCTAAATCTAGGCAGAGTGACTTCCTGGTCTGAAAGGGAAAAGTAGCTTAACTATGTTGCACAATCCCCTAATATAATACCCAGAATGTTCATTTCAATACCAAATCATCCCATCACCAAGAACCAGAAAAAAATCAACCTCAAGAAATCCAAACCTAGATATAATACGCTAACTGCTAGTCCCAATAAACCTTTGTAAGTAAAGATAAATATCTTGAGAGCAACGACAGATACAATAACTTACAAATAAAGAAAAATTAATTCAAATGACAAATAATGTCTCATCAGAAACCCTGAAAATCAGAAAGAAGTGGCACAGTATTTTCTTTTAAAGAATTATTTGCTTAATTTTATTTATTATTATCATCTTAAAATTTGACCAGAGTGAGAAAGAAAGCAAGAAAGCAAGCCACCAGGTCTGGGGCTCGAACTATGGTTAAGCCAGCACCTTAATCACCACACCACCTGCTGGCCCTGGCACAGCATTTTGTAAGTGCTGGAAAAAAAGAAAGGAAAAAAGAACTGTCGGGACCAGCAGTTGGCGTAATGGCTATGTCGCTGAACTCCCATGTAGTCAACCGCAGTTTGAGTCCTGGACCCAGTAGCTTAAAACTCACGCCGGGCGCGTGTGCGTGCGTGCCCAAGATCCCAAGAGGAAAATGGAGGAGAAGGGATTGCGGCGTGGCCATCCCCCCAGGAGGTGATTTCTCGCTTTCTGTCTCTCTCTGTCTTTCTGGTGAGTGCACGTGCTCTATAGCAAAAACCTCTCCAGAAAAAAAAAGAAAGAAAAGAAAAAAGAACTGTCAACTGCAAAGAACTGTCAACTGCGAATTCTATATTCAACTAAACTTACCTTCCATAATGAAGAGGAAATCAAGGTGCTCTCAAATAAAGAAAAACTCAAATAACTTGTTGTTAGTCCATCGGGCTTTAAAGAGTGGTTAAAGGGAATGCTTAAACAGAAAGAAATGATGAAAGGAATCTTAACTATCTGCAAGGAAGAGAAAATGATAGAAAAACAAAAGCATGGATAAAAATGTCTTGCTACATTGACTAAGAAGATTCAAATGACAAATAAAAATGGAAGAGGAGACATTATTTATACAAATATAAAGGGTTATAAAAGACTACATGGAGGTCTTTAAAAAGTTCATGGAAGATAAATGTTATGACAAAACTGTGGATTTTAATATTTTTTGCACCAAAATAAACTCGTACTTTAATTTTTTCACTTTTTAAAGTTCCATAATATTACACCAAAAAATTAGACAGCCTAAATGGAGAAGACAAAATCCTAGAAATAAGTAATAATGAGGTACAATCATAAAGAAAGAAAACATCTAGACAGACTTATGACTAGTAAGAAAATTATCAGTAAGCAAAAATTTCCCAAGGACCACTGCTGAATTCTAGCAGAAACACTGAAAGAATACTAATCCTTTTCAAACTCTTCAAAGTAAAAAAAAAAAAAAAAAAAAAAAAAAAAAAAGAGAGAGAGAGAGAGAAAAAGAAAGTTGCATAAAGGAGAATACTTCTTAACTCCTTTCTATGAAAAAGTATTACTGTGATACCAAAGCTAGACATAGACACCACAAGAAAACAAATACACAAATAAAAACAAAACAAAACTACAGATCAATATCACTTATGACTATATGTGCAAAAATTCTAAACAAAGCAGTAGCAAACTCAGTATAACAGGATATTAAAAAGATTGTACATGATAATGACCTGGAATCTACTCCTGGAATGCAAAGATGGTTCAATGTATAAAAAACAGTCAGTGCTGTATATCACATAACAGAATAAAAAGAAAAAGTATATGAGTATCTCAAATGGAGCAGAAACAGCATTTCACAAAATAAACATTCTTTCTTGATGAAAAAAAAAAACATTTAGTAGGGGCCAGCAGGTGGCTGGTGGTTGAGGGCACTGGACTCCCACATGGCTGATCACGGTTCGACTCTCAGACCTGGTGGCTTAAACTCACGCCAGGTGTGTGTGCGTGCGTGCCCAAGATCCTGAGAGGAGAATGGAGGAGAAGGGATTGTGGCGTGGCCATCCACCTGAGGGGTGATTTCTCACTCTCTCTCTTTCTCTCTCTCCCTCTCTCTGTCTTTCTGGCGAGCACACGTGCCCTATAGCAAAAAAAAAAAGATAAACAAAAATTGAAAGAATTCACCAATACTAGACCAGCTCTATAGGAAGTACTGAAGAGAATGTGGTATTAGGATAACTAAAGAGAGACAAACAGAAATAAGAGAACAACAAAAAAAAAATAACTGAGAAAATGACTAACAAAATGACAGGGATAAGTCCTCAAATATTGATAATAACATTGAACGTTAATGGATTAAATTCTCCCATTAAAAGACACAGACTGGCTGAATGGATATAAAAAGAGAAGCCATCTATAACCTGCTTACAAAAAAACACCTTATCGATAAGGACATGCATAGACTGAAAGTGAGGGATTGAAAAACCATATTTCATGCAAATGGAAACCAAAAAAAGGCTGGAGTTGTGATGCTGGTGTCAGACAGAATAGACTTTAAGAACAATAAAAGAAGAGACAAAGAAGGACATTCTGTAGAACTAAAAGGACTTGTTCACCAAGAAGATATTACACTTGTAAATATGTATGCACGCAACAGTAGAGCACCTAAGTACATCAAAGAGAGACTGTTAGATCTCAAGGGAGAGACAGACTGAAACACAATAATTGTAGAGGATCTCAACACCCCACTGACTCCTCTGAACAGATCATCTAGACAAAAATAAATAAATAAATAAATAAAAAGATACAAGATCTAAATGATACCATACATAAAATGGGCTTGACAGACATCTACAAAGTATTTCACCCAACCACGACAAAATATACATTTTTCTCACCTACAAATGGAATATTTTCAAAGATTAACCACATGATAGGGCACAAAACAAAACTTTACAAATTCAAATGTAGAAACTATATCCAGCATCTTTTCTGATCACGATAGAATCGAAACTTAAAGACAACTACAGAAAGAGCCCTCGAAAATATACAAACACAAGGAAACTAAACAATCTGCTCCTGAATGACTTTACAGCTACAGAAGAAATTAAGACTGAAATAGAAAGGTTTATGGATACCAACGATAATGAACAAACAAGTGTTTATAACCTATGGGACACAGCAAAGCAGTCGTAAGAGGGAAGTTCATAGCAATTAGTGCCCACAAGAAGAAAGCAGAAAGGTGGCAATTAAACCATCTAATGACACAACTCAGGGAACTGAAAAATAATTCCAGGAGAAAAGAAATAATAAAGATTTGAGCAGAAATAAATGAAATATAGAATAAAAGAACTATACAGAAATCGAACAAAACCAAAAGCTGATTCTTTGAGAAGATAAAAAATATTGACACACCTTTAGCTAGATTAATCAAGAAGAACCGAGAAAGGGACCAGATAAATTGAATTAGCAAGAAAACAGAAGTTATTACAATGGACATAACAGAAATACAAAATATCATCAGAGAACACTGTGAGTGATTATACACCAATGAACAAGAAAACCTAGGTGAGATGGATAAATTTCTGGACACGTATAGCTTACCAAGATTGAACCAGGAATAAAGTCTTGAATAGACCCATAACAAACAATGAGATTGAATCAGTAATAAATAGTCTCCCAACAAAGAGCTCAGGTCCCAATGGCTTTACTGAATGCTACAAAACTTCTAAAGAACTAACCCAAATTCTCCTCAAACTATTCTAAAGATTTAAAAGGAAGGGACTCTCCCAAATTCATTCTATGAAGCCTCCATCATCCTCATTCCCAAACCAGACAAGGACATGACAAAAAAGGAAAACCAGGCCAATATCCCTGATAAATAAGAATGCAAAAATTCTCAACAAGACATAGCAAATCATATTCAACAACATATTAAAAATATTATATACCATGACCAAATAAGTTTTGTTCCAGGGATGCAAAGATGGTTCAACATATGCAAAACAAGAAATGTAATACATCACATTAACCAAAGGAAAGATAATAACAATGATAATATTAATTGAGGCAGAAAAAGGCACTTGATAAAATACAGCATCCCTTCATGATTAAGACTCAGCAAAATAGGCATAGAAGGGACATTCCTCAACACAATGAAAGCCATCTATGACAAACCCATAGCTAAAATCATACTGAATGGGGAAATGCTGAAAGCTTTTTCACTAAAAACTGGAATGAGACAAGGCCTCCCACTTTCTCCACTCCTTTTTATCATAGCCCTAACAATTCTAGCCAATACAATTGGATAAGAGAGTCAATTAAATGTATCCAAATGGGAAAAGAAGTGAAATTATCTCTACCGAAGATAATATGATGCTATAGATAGAAAATCCAAAAGAATGCACACACACACACACACACTCACACACACAAAACTCCTGGAAGTGATCAATAAATACAGTAAAGTGGTAGGATACAAATCAATATACAAAAATCTATAGCATTTTTATACAGCAACAAGGGACAAACTGAGACAGAATTGAAAAAATTAATCCCATTTACAATAGCCACAAAACCAATAAGATAATCAGAAATAAATCTTACCAAAGATGTCAAAGATCTCGGGAACCAGCAGTTAGCGTAATGGCTATGTCGCTGGACTCCCACGTAGTTGACCGCAGTTCGCATCCCGGACCCAGTGGCTTAAAACTCACGCCGGGCGCGTGTGCGTGCATGCCCAAGATCCCAAGAGGAGAATGGAGGAGAAGGGACTGCAGTGTGACCATCCCCCCTGGGGGGTGATTTCTCGCTTTCTGTCTCTCTGTCTCTCTCTGTCTGTCTGGCGAGCGCACACGCCCTATAGTGAAAAAAAACTCTCAAAAAAAAGAGGAAAACTATGAAACATTTGAAAAAGAAATTAAAAATGATACAAAGTGGAAAAATATCTCATATTCCTGGATTAGAAGAATTAATATAATCAAGATGTCAATCCTACCTAAATTACTCTACAAATTCAGTGCAATTCCAATCAAACTACTACAGATATTCCTCACAGAAACAGAAAAACAATCATAAAATTTGTCTAAAATCATAAAGGTTCCCAAACAATCATAAAATTTGTCTAGAATCATAAAGGTTTCAATAGTAAGTGAATAAAGGAAAAGACTGCTATAAAGAGGGAATAAAGTGGGAGGTATCTCACTTCCTGACATCAAAACATTACGAAGCTGTGATCATTAAAACAGCATGGTATTGGCACAAAAACAAACAAATAAACAAAAAAACAGGCAAACCAATGGGATAGAATTGACAACCCCCAAATAAACCCCAAAACATACAGTCAACAGACCCTTGACAAAGAACACAAAACAATCCAGTGGGAAAAAGAATCTCCTAGGCAAATGGTGCTGGGAGAACTGGATCTCCACCTGCAGAAGAATGAAACTGGACCCTTATCTCTCACCACTAACAAAAATTAACTAAAAATGTATTGAAGATCTAAACATAACCCTCAAACTACAAGAATACTGGTAGAAAACCCAGGAAAAACTCTTAGAGACCTTGGAGTAGGCAAAGACTCCTTGAAGAAGGCCTCCAAAGCAATGGCAGTAGTTCCAAAAATAGACAAATGGGACTATATTAAGCTGAGAAGCTTCTGCACAGAAAAAAAAGAAAGAAAGAAAGAAAGACAGAAAGAAGAAAGAAAGAAAGACAGAAAGAAGAAAGAAAGAAAGACAGAAAGAAGAAAGAAAGAAAGACAGAAAGAAAGAAGAAAGAAAGAAGAAACATAATTAGAGAAGACAACCTTTAGAGTGGGAGAATATATTTGCAAACTATACCTCAGAAAAGGGAATGATAACCAGAATATACAGGGAACTCAAGCAGCTTACCCCCCCACACACACACACAAAATAATCCAATTAAAAGATGGGGAAATAAGCTGAACAGACATCTCTTCAAAAAAGACATATGAACGGCCAAAACGCATGAAAACATGCCTGACATCTCTTATTATAAGGGAAATGCAAATCAAAACCATAATAAGATACCATTTAAAGCCATTCAGAGTGGCTAAAATTTAAAAAATTAAAAATGTAAGTGCTGGTGAGGCTGTGGTGAAAAGGGAACTCTCCGATACTGTTGGTGGGAATGCAAATTAATGCAACTACTGTGGAGAATGGTGTGGAGATTCCTCAGAAATCTACAGATAGAACTACCATACGACCTAGGTATAGTTTGCAAACTACCTCCCTTATCTGAGGTGTAGTTGCGAATATATTCTCCCACTCTAAGGGAATTTCACTCTTTGGTATTTACCCAAAGGGCAGAAAAACCCTCAGTCAGAAAAGTATCTGCATATCCATGTTTATTGAAGCATTATTTACAATTGCTAGGACATGGAATCAACCCAAATGTCCAAAAATAGATGAGTGGATTGAAAAAATGTGGCATATTAGGGCTGGCAGATGGTGTGGTGGTTAAGGTGCTTTTCTCCCACTTGGCTGACCATGGTTCAAGTCCCAGACCTGATGGTTTGCTTTCTCACTTTCTCTTTCTCTCTCTCTCTCTCTCTCTCT